AAATAATAAGTGTCCCAGGGACTGGGTCACAGAGGCACTCTCATGCAACTCCAACACAGAATTTTGCCAAAATACTTAAACAGAGACTATGCTATGGCATCTACCTGGAACCAATACTAAAACACCCCATTTAACCATCATTATAAAACACTCCTGCAAGAGGAACTCCCTCTCTGCTAACCCCACTTCAGAGTACTAGAAAAAGTAACTTCTCTACCAGATGACTAAACACCAATGTAGAGATACCAGAAATACGAAAAACAAGAAAATATGATACCACCAAAAGAATATAATTCTCAAATATCAGATTCTACAAAACAGGAAGTCTTTGAAATGACTGAAAAGGAATTACAAGCAACAATTCTAAGAAAACTCAGTGAGATACAAGAAGACTTAGACAACACAATGAACTGAGAAAAAGTATACAGGACCTGAAGGAGGAAGTGTACGAAAGAAATTAATGCACTGAAATATAATGTAGCAGAGGTTGTGGAGATGAAGAATTTATTCAATGAAATAAAAAACATAACAGAGAGCTTAAACAGCAGGCTGGAACAAGCAGAAGAGAGAATTTGTGATCTTAAAGATGGACTATTTGAAATAACTGAAGTGGACAAAAAAAAGAAAAAAAAAATTTTTTAAAAGAAGAAAATCTAAGAGATACAGCAGACAACTTTAAGCACTCAAATATCCAAATCATGGGTGTTCCAGAAGGGAAGGAAAAAGGAAAAGTCATTGAAAATATATTCAAAGAAATAATAGTGGAAAACTTCCCAGGTATAGGGAGAGATACAGATCTTCAGAGGCTCCAATATCCCCAAACAAATTCAACCCAAAAAGGTCCTCTCCAAGACATGTTATAGTCAAACTGGCAAAGCTCGAAGATAAAGAGAGAATCTTAAAAGCTGCAAGAGAGAAGCATCAAATCACCTATAAGGGAGCCCCTATCAGACTAACAGCAGACTTTTATAATCTCTGGCTTTTCATCAAAAACCCTAAAAGCCAGAAGAGAATGAGATGATACATTCAAAATACTAAAAGACAAAAATTGCCAGCCAAGAGTACTT